GAGTTCAAATTCAGAACTCACATTGGGCAGCTCACAACCCTCTCCAGTTCCAAAGGATCAGACACACCCTTGTGGCCTCTTCGAGTTACCAATTCTTCCAGGTACAAGCCCGCACTCAAATACATACATACATAACTTTTTAAAACTAAAACAAATGTTTTTCAAAAGGAAAAGTAAATAGTCCCAGTAGTCTCTCCCCAGATGCCCTTGGCCCATTGGGAGGGGCCTCTCTGGTGGATGTGCGCCCTCAGCTGCCCCCAAGCTCAGCTGTCACAGTTTAGATAAGTGATGATGTCTGCCTTGGGCCCAGGTTTTATGAGTCGTAGCACAGAGGTCTTGACGATGGGGTCAGTCTCCCTAGCCCATGTAATCTAGTTTGACACGTGCTACATTCCATGGGTGCAGTGAAGTCATGAATCTGTCCACCAAACATCGATTGATGACGTATTCTTCCAGGTTTGTCCCCAGAGAGAGAAACCCATCCGAATTGTGAAGTGTTGCTAGGTAATCAGCTGCAGTACCCTTTTGTGTCTTACTCGCTGCCACATCCTCAGTACCTGAAGGATTACCTGGCATAGAAGATGCTGCATGAATATCTGTAGCTAGGGATATGTGACCCAGAGCAGCTGTGTCACTGGCCAGAGTCGCTTCCAAGTCCCCCAGCAACTTGTTCTCCAGAAACGGCTGCCATTTAGAACGGTGGAGAGCTATTCACAAAGGGATCTCTGAACCCAAAAGGATTTCATTTTTTTCCATGCGTTTCAAAGACCCATCTAATGTCACTCGTCAGGCAGTCACAGCAGAACAAATGGTGTTTTTTGGGTTGGTTTTTTTTTTTCCTCCGCTCGGTTTATTGACAAAAGACTCTGTAATGAAGCCATACTGGAGTATCAGGAAGGAGGCTGGCTCGAATTCCATCTGATCCAATTATGTCCAACACTCTCTGGGGGAAATGAGCTGATATAATGAGTGGGCCTGGCCTTGGAGGGAGGCATTCTTCCCTCAACTCCCTCTCTCTCTCTCCCTCCCTCCACCCCCCCCTCGCCTGACCAGCAACAGCCCACCTGTCCTGTCTGTGTTCCAGGCCCGAGCAGGCCTGTCCATCTGTCATGGTGTCTCTTTGAACACAAGGTTCTGTCTCAGCCAGGGCTTAGCCTCTCCCAAGGGCCAGATTTCCTTTACCAAGACCCCATCCTTCATGGTGACAGAAAAGGCACTGCCTGAAAGACACAAAGTGCACTTCCAGAAATCATGATGGATCTCTCTGTACCACTGGGCCTAACAGATTAATAATCCTGCTCTGATACACACCAGGCCTGTATCTCCTTTGGGAGAACCCCAGCAAACCCATTCTGGGGTTGAAGACTTCGTAGCTCCGTGTTACAGGGCTTGCCCAGCAATTGTGGGCTCCTGCCACAATTAATTAAATCTGTGCCACCACTGGTGAATTGGTTGGCTATGGTAGCACACAGTTGTAATCCCAGCACTCAGAGGCTGAGGCAGGAGGGGTGTGGTGAGTCTAAGGCTAGTCTGGTCTACATAATAGAATTCCCTCTGTTGAAAGAAAGGAAAGAAAAGAAAAAGAAAAGGCAAGGGGCTGGAGATGTAGCTCACTTGGTAGAGCGATTGCCCAGCATGTGCAAGGCTCTAGGCTCCATCCCCAGCATAAAGTAGCTTGGTGGTGCATGCCTATGACCCTAAGCACTCGGAAGCAGGAGAATCAGGAGTTCAGGGTTAGCCTGGGCTACATGAGACTGCCTCAAAACAAAACAGAAAAGTTGAGGTTCTTCTTCTACCCCGTCCCCATCAGGCTTCTGTCTCCGAGGTCATTGTGTCAGAGTCCCTGCTTGGAGCGTGGCATCTTGTCAGTTCTAGAGGCTGGTTAAGTACTGGGTTCTGTAGCTCAGCACACACACCCCATCTCTTCTTTCTGTGTCTCCTCCTTCGCCTCTGACCCCACCATTCGATGGGACTCTTATTCCAGTAGCCCAGACTGAAAACAATGTAATCTACGTAAAGGCCAGACTTGAAGGGCTGACAGCTCCCTGGTAGGAACCCTTCCCCTCCCTCCAGGTCCAGTCACTCAGTCACTATGGCTCCCTCTCCAGGACTGTCTCCTGTAGCTCCCCAGCAGCCTGTGGGGACCTCCTTGAGTGTCCTTAGCCTAATGGTTGTGAGTCTGCCCCAGGGCCAGCTGCTGCCCTGGCCCTCCTGGAGCCAGAAGATGGACTTGCTGGAGAGAGACTTGACTACAACAGACCTTAATTTCCCCATGTGACGCTGCATTGGCTGGGAAGGAAGGAAGACCTGAAACCAGTACGATGCGACAGGCTAAGAGCAGAGCCAGGGCTGGGGCTTAGACCTTCCATGGTTGCCATGACCCAATACAACCCAGGAGACCAACCTGAGTCTCTGGCATTCTGTCCCAGGAAGGGGCAACCCCCAGTTTTGGGAACCTGTCTCTGCAGTTGAGAGATGTTTGTCACAAGACAGAGGTGATGGAGACCATGATAGTAACTATTAATTAAATACATTATTTTTAAAAAGAAAGAAAGAGAGAAGCAATGAAGGAAAAGTGTATGCCCCTGCTGTGAGCCAATTAGCCCCCTGGAGGTGTCAGGTCAGGGCCCTGCAGTGGGGTGGGGAGGTAGCAGTGTTCAGGGTATTAGTTCTCCAGGCAGAGGGAGGAGCTATGGGAGAGAGGGACAAGAAGTGGGAAATGGAGCAGGGAAGACAACCACAGGGAACCCTCTCATGCTGACAACCTGTGTGAGATGCATCTTGGGTAGTAGTGCAAGTGGACTTGGCAGTCCACAGAAGGTTTAGCCTGAAGGGAACTCCCATTCTAAGTCACCTACCAGCAACACCACCATCCTGGGCAGGAATCCATGGAGGGAACCCAGCCAGATTGTCTGTGAGTTCAGAACATCCTACGCTCTGGGAACACCTTGGATACCTCAACCTTCCAGCAGAGCAAGGTCACCCTGATTCCTTCAGGCTAGTGGCCAGTGTGGCCAGGGCCAAAGGACCTGGAGGTCCCAGCAAAAACAAGGCTTTGGATTTCATTTATTCCACTTGTACAGTGGATGGACCCCAAGCCAGTGGAGCTGGGGACAGCTTTAGCTAATGCACGTGTCTCAGGAGATGGTCAAAACCAGCTTGGCACCACCCCTCTCTCAGAGAGGCAGAGGGTGGCCTGGCAATGAGCAGGCATATCTGCCTGGCAAATGCATACTTCCCCATCAATCCTCGGTTAGGGGAGGCTGGCAGCTGATCGATATCTTCCGCTTTAAAAATAAGCTTCTTGGCTTGGCCTTGACATTAATCTAGCATTGGGAGCCCATTATCTTGAGACCAGTGTCCTGTTCAATTGACTAGCCGGGGTTTCCTTTTTCCCCACCATCAGAGTAGAACTACATTGCCCAGTCAGCACCTCTGCTCACTGCAGCCTCGAACACCTCCCACCATGGGAAATGGCACAGAGGACATCCTACATCCATCTTGGCAGGAGGTAGCAAGACCCAGGACCCTTTGGGAGCCCTGGATGGTTTAGGACATGAAACTCAGTCCCCACTGTGCCCCCAGCAAGTGTGCTGCATAGAATTTGGGTCATCTGTGTCCCATGCCAGTCCCTCAATCCACAGGAGACAGAATGTGAAAATCTATCACAGAAGCAGCTAGAACCCTCTATGCCCAAAGCTACTGTGGCCTCGATTATGACTTTAATATCTGCCCAGGACTGCACCTACCCCCTTCCATGAGCAGAACCAACTTCTTTGTAAAATTGAATGGTTTGAAGACATCCTGTCCAGCCCTACCCTGACAAGAGCCCAGGCCTTCCCTTCCCTCACACCCCATTGGACTCCAGGCCTCTGGCATCATTGGTACAGTGCCAGTGCCTACCTACCCCTGAGCCTTTGCACACTCGGTGTTCTGTTGACGGTAGTACCTCCTGAATCAGACCATCCCAGCCGATGAGGACAGTGTAGCAGCCTCCTCCCCGTCCCACTGATCCCCTTCTTTTTCCCAGCCTGCCCCCTTCTACTTTCATGTCTCGTGTGCATGTGAACCCGAGAGCTTAACTGTTATTCTCAGGATCGTGGGCACCTTACCAGTAGCTAGCCCACTAAAGAGAATGTCTCTTCCCACTAACACCCCATTCATATGGGAATGTTGAGGGGCCAATCTATTTTATTTATTTTTATTAATGAATCTGGGGGGCTTCGATAACACACATGTGGGGGCCAGAGAACAACTTGGGGGAGTCAGTTCTCTCCTTCCACCATGCAGATCCCAAGGCTTGACACGACAGTAGGTGCATTTTACCTGATGGGCCAACGGATGGCCCATGGGGTCCGAATCTTGGGCAGGTCTTATGCAAGTGACCACAGCTGCTGCGAATTCAAGAGCACAGTGGCCTTGTCATGCCCATGGGTTTCTGTTCTAGCCTCGACACTCACTAGTCTGTGGCCTCCAACTGTCCCTTACTCCGAGCACTTCATGTTGGCAGTGGGTTGCATCTGCGCAGTGCTCAGCAGCCACGGCTGGCAGCCCT